AGTCGAGTTTGGAAGCTCATATCTTGCAATCTATAAGGAATTAGAAAAATTGCAAAACACAAAAATTGTAGCTCTTGCATTCTAGTTTCCAGAAAGTTAAATCAGTTATGATTTGGATATTTTATCAAAAAGTTATAATGGATTGAAGATGGCCGGTGGAGCAGTTTCAACAGAATTTTCTGATGCATGGAGCCGACTTTAGAAGCTCATATCTCGGAATATATCAAGAGTTATATGGTGTAAAACCTATCAAATAAATGATCTTCGAGTCTAGTTTCTAAATCTTCAAACCGTTTGTCATTTGAATATTTCCACAAGGCGTTATGGGCGTTTTAACAGAAGGTGTACAGCAGGGGAAAATGGTAAGAGGATGTACAACCTGCACAACACAAGGTACAACTCGATGGAGCCTGGGCATATTGTTTTAAACACAAGTTTTAGCCCATTTCTTTCATTTTGGCTTAGACGATTTTGGAGAGCTCAAGGAGGGATTTTCACCAAGCAACACTAGGTAAGTGATTTCTTCTCATTTTTGAGTTAAATATGTGATCTTACATGGATTTAGACATGAAAATCAGTAGAAAAATGTGACGACCCAAAGGTTCATCACCTGTTTTCTTACCCATTATATGCTTTCGAGGCCTTGAAAACCTCATTTAGAGCCGCTTCGATTTACATGCGCTGTCCGGGCACGTAGCCAGAAAGCTTAAATATGAAATTTTGTGAAAAATGCTAAGTTTTGATGTTAAAATGAATAAATTTGACTTCGGTCAATATTTTGGGTAAACGGACCCGGACCTGTGATTTGACGGTCCCGGAGGGTCCGTAGGAAAATTTAGGACTCGGGCATATGCCCGAAATCCGAGGTCCCTAGCCCGAGAAGTGAATTCTTTTAAGGAAATTGTTTTTTTGAAAATGTCTATGGAAATTGAAATGAAATTTGATTAAACGAGTTGGTATCGGGTCCGTATTTTGGTTCCAGTGCCCGGTACAGGTCTTATATATGACTTGAGTCATTCCTATAAAATTTGGTTAAAAACGGACGTCGTTTGACGCGATCCGGACCTTAATTGAGAAATGTGATGTTTAAAAGAGTTTTGAGAAATTTCAATGATCTCGAGGTTTAATTCGATGCTCGTGATGTTATTTTGGTAATTTGATGACACAAATATGTCTATAGGATGTTTTTGAGGTTGTGTGTATACTTGGGTTGGAGTTTCGAGAGTTCGGGTGAGTTTGAGTAGGTTCCGGGATGCCTTAGGTTTAGAAAGTTTAGATGTTGCGGTCCGCGAGAAATCGCTTGCGACCGCGGAGGGGCCAGCACGGCCGCGGTCGCCTTTGTGCGGGGAGCGATGGAGGCTATGCGGCCGCAGTCGCCTTTGTGCAGTCCGCACAGGGTGCTGAACTGCAGGTCTTCAGGGAGGCCTGTGCGGCCGCAGTTCGTTTAATGAGGTCCGGTGGAGCTCCGCGGCCGCAGTCCTTTTTATGCGGTCCGCGGTAAGGGTCTGAGAGGGGTATAAATAGACGGGATTTTCAGTTATTTTTCACTTTTCAACACCCCAAAAACATAAGAGGTGATATTTCAAACAACATTTCTTCTCCAAATCAATTGTAAGTCATTTTTAACTAGTTTCTTCAATCATTAACATCTTTTAACATGATTTCAACTTAATATCAAAGATTTTCATGGGGGAAATTGAGTGTTTTGGGTAGAACCTAGGTTTTCCAAAATTGGGTATTTGGACCTCAATTTGAGGTCCGATTTCAAAACAAATTATACCTTTGGATTTGTGGGGGAATGAGTAATCGAGTTTTGGTCCAAACCTCGGGTTTTGACCACGTGGGTCATTTTGACTTTTTGGGTAAAAAACTTTGGGAAAAACTCATTTCATGCATTGGGGTTGATTCATTTAGCACTTATTGATGTAATTAAGTAACTTGTGACTAGATTCGAGCGGATTGGTGGTGGAATCAAGGGGTAAAGCTATAATTGAGGCTTGAGTGGTGTTCAAAGTTTCGAGGTACGTGTTTGGTCTAACCTTAGCTTGAGGGATTAGGAGTTGAGTCTTATTTGCTACGTGCTAATTGTAGAGTATGACGTATAGGCATGGTGACGAGTATCTATACGTTGGTGTATAGTATGACCGTGAGTCTTTATATTGCGGATATTCTGATTTTTGTTGTATCCTTCATGCCTTAATGATGATTTCTATATGTTGTAAAAACATGTGAAAGAAATTGTGATCGTCGAACTTCGAGGAGCATTGGCTCGAGTTATAATACGAATTGTGAACGTATATGAGATAATTGAACCCTTTGGAGCATTGACTCAAGTGGTAAAGAGAGTTATAAAGTAAGAAGTGAAAGAAAGAGAAAGAGTTACTGAATTGTTCCCTTGCCGGGATGTTTGTTGCTTTGTTGATTATCTCCCTTGCCGGAATGTTGAGATTTATTGATATTGATCCCTTACCGGGATTTCTACCATTATTTGTCTACTCCCTTGCCCCTCTGTTTGTGATTGTTGTTTGGGTGAGGAAGAGTGTTAAAGCACGAAGGGTGATGTCGTGCATTGTTTGCTATTGTGAGGAAAGAGTGTAAAGCACGAAGGGTGATGTCGTGCCATACGATGTACCATTCCGTACCGTTATTCATTAACTATGTGGTGAGAAAAGAGAGTAAAAGCACGAAGGGTGATGCCGTGCACATTATTATGATACGATTGATTTGGTGAGAACGAGAGTAAAAGTACGAAGGGTGATGCCGTGCACATTTTTATTATAAATATTGTTTGGGTGAGGACGAGAGTAAAAGCACGAAGGGTAATGCCGTGCAAATCGTTGAATTCTAATTCTTGTTGATATTCTAGCTTTGTTGTTTCTTTCTTTTATTGAGGTTTTCTATTTGGTACGGTTACCTCCCCACAACATGTTTCCCCTTCCCACATTGACTGATTATTTTCCTGTATTTCTTTTCCGCTGTACATATAGATATTTGAATTGCACAGGTTATTTGGTAGTCTGGTCCTAGCCTCGTCACTACTTCGCCGAGGTTAGGCTAGGCACTTGCCAGCACATGGGGTCGGTTGTGCTGAAACTACATTCTGTGCTCTTTTGCACAGATCCTGGTATTGGACAGTAGCAGTAGCGCGGGAGCCAGCCTTCAGTCCACCGAGACACCGAGGTAGCCTTGCAGGCGTCCGCAGGCCCGGCGTCTCCTCTATCTTATATTTTATTCTGTTATCTCATGTATTCGAGACAAATAGTGTTGTTTTTCTTTCAAATGGTTGTATTTAGTACTCTTAGTAGTTCGTGAGTGATGTGACACCAGTTCTTGGGTAGAGGCATATGTTGACTTTTGCATTATTGTTTAGCTTATTTAATTTAGGTCTTCCGCTTATTTATTTAATTCCGCAGTTTTCATGCTATCACTGATAATTGTTAAAAGAAGTAATTTGTTAATGAAAAAGGTAGTTAAGGGTTAGCTTGCCTAGCTCTCATTAGTAGGCGCCATCACGACTCCCGAGGGTGGGAAAATCCGGGTCGTGACAAAAAAGGTGAAGTTAGGGCTTGAGATTATGAGACTTTCTAGGGATGATTTGAGGGGTCAAACGAACTCCAATTTTTGAGTTCTTTATATGTACGGACTCGTGAGATGATGAAGAATATTTTGGTAAAAGTTTGTCCAGTTGGGGGATGCGGTCCCGAGGGTCAGGTTTTGACTGATTTCGGATTTTGTGCTTAAAATCGATATTTTCCAATTGAAATTCATTCGTTTAGCATAATTTGATGATAAAAACCTGAACTTGGTAGATTTGGAGCACTCGGAAGTTGGGTCGAGAGGCTAGCGTGTTGCAGAGTAGCTTTTCGGGCTAGTTCGAGGTGAGTAATGATTTTAAATGCTGTTCTGAGGGTATGAAACCCCGGATTGCACAACGTCGTGCTATATTGAGGTGAAACACACGTTAGATGACGAGTGTGGGGTCGTGCACCGTTGGGGATTGTGACTTAGTCCATCTCGAATGACTATTTTTCTGTATAATGGGCAGCTAATTATTTGATATTATTATACTTTGGGCTAAATGCTATATTTGGGCTTCGTGCTAACTGTTTGAACCCTTAGGGGATTGTTAATGATATTTTCCTCACTGTTTGATTTCATACTTGTGCTCAGTCATGCTATATTTTCACTATTTTAAAAACTCAGCTATGTTATTCTGTATTAAACACATTAATTGATATTTTCAAAAATATTTGAGCTGAGCTTCATATTTTACTGATGCCCGAGGGGATTATGAGATTCTGACTGAGTAAGGCCGAGGGCATGTATTGTGAGGATACTTTTGGGTCAGGCTGCACACCGCAACAGTGATATACTGATTATGATAATAAGGCCGATGGCCTGAGATTGTGCGCCACGAGGTGGCTTGATATTGATATGAGGATGAGATCCTATTTATGATGCCACGAGATGGCTTGATATTGCACTTGGGCTGTAAGGGGCCCCTTTAGGAGTTTGCACACCCCCAATGAGCGCGAGTACCCATTGTGATGTGAGATATAGCCAGAGGGGCTGGTATGGTTCTGAGATATAGCCCGAGGGGCTGGTATTGTTCTGAGATATTGCCCGAGGGGCAGATTTGTTGACATTGTGCCTGAGGGGCGAACCTTTATGTACTTATCTTTATTATTTACCTGTCATGTACCTGTTTAATTGTGTAATTGTGCCCGAGGGGCGGATCTTATATGCTTATCTGTTCTAATTGCTTGCATTCAATTGCTTAACTATTGAAAAGCCATTTTTGAAGAAGTTTAAACTGAGCTAAGGTACTTAAGAGATTTCACAGCTTCATTGCTTTCTTACTGGTTTTGTACTGCTTCTATACATCATGTTGATGTACTCTTAGTGATTTCCTATCACCTAGTCTTTATTTATTTTATTACTCACTGAGTTGGAAGTACTCACTTTACTCCCTACACCTTGTATGCAGATTCAGTTATTTCTGAACCCGGTAGCGGGTATTGGTTGCTCAGAGACAGAGTCATCGGAGTTTAGCAAGGTAGCAGCCCGACGTTCGCAGCAGTACTTTTCTCCCTCTCGATTTCATTAGACTGTATTTAGTACATTTTTTACTCTAGTTGTATTCGGACCTTAGTAGATGCTCATGACTAGTGACACCCTAGTATCGGGCTGTGTTGGGTTTGTTTTTCCGCAAATTATACTGTTAACTGCTTATTTTTTAGATTTTATCATGTTTACGACTTAATACTTATTATTTTATTGCTTAAGATTGGAATGGGAATGTGTCAGTTGGCCTTGTTTTCACGAAAGGCGCTATCACGACCGGGTCCGGGTTTAGGGTCGTGACATTTTTAAGGGTAAAAAAGGCAAATGATATTTTTCTAAGGGCATTCGTGGTTTTAATATAGTATAGATAGATAGATTTAAATTGAGATTTTTACATTCCTATGCCACATAGTAAACTATATTATCCTCCATGCTTAACTTTTAATATAATTACCTTTTATATACCTAATTACCATTTATGTACCATTTTAAGATTTTAATGGTATTAATTAGTCTCTTAATTTTACTCAACTGTATATTCCCACTCCCCCCAAGTTTCTTTCTCCAAATCCCACCACCTCACTCACATATCAAACCACACCCCTCGATTTCCTCTTCAATCACCCATGATTTCCTCTTCTAAAACCAGCGAAAATCTGGAAGACCTCCATTAACACCTATTCTCAAGCTCTTTCTCTAAAATCAGTCAAAATTTCGACTATTCTTCAAAGTTTATTCACCCATTAACGACCAGCTTCAAAGATTTTCAATGAAGAAGAACAAAGCTTCCAAAAAAAAGATGTAAAAAAGTTAAAGAAGCAGATGTTCCTTCCTTCGATTTGGGTATTTTATCACCACATTCACCGAAAAAACATGAAAAATCTACTCATGCAAATGAAGAGAAGAAGCATAGTCTTTCCCCTCGTCAAGCTAGGGCAGAAGCTAGAACTAAAAATAAACATGATTTTGATGCTGGTGAATCTTCGAGACAAATCAATTCAGCGAAAAAGAAAGGCAAAGTGATAGATTTTGATGATGGTTTTGTAGAAGATGAAGCTATCATTAAACCTGCAAAGAAAGTTAAAGTGTCTCCTACAGTAAAAGCTCCAAAAAAAAGCTCCTACTGTAAAATCTCCTAAAAATGTTCAACAACATTCATTGGTGAAGGTAAGAATTTAGTAATTTCAACAATAGTTTTTTTGTTTGTTTTAATTCTTAAAAGGCTCCATAATCTGTGTTTTTTGTGGTTTGTAGATTATTTGTCTACATTGTGAAGATTAGTTGCAGATTTCTAAAACTGTTTAAATTTGTAGATATATTGTTAAAAAATTGTAGTTATGTTCTTTTTGTTTTTAACTGTATTATATAGTTGTAGATATATTATAGATATATTGTATGACAATTGTAGATATGGTATATTTTAGATTGGAGCTTTGTATTAATAAGAGATTAATTATTTTTTCTGCAGAATCGATATTTTTTTGCACCTCATAATGTTGATTATAGGATCCTTAGGTTTCAGACATTATCCGACCCCAGTGTTCCTAGTCAAATTAAAGAGTTATTGTCTCCAAATGGTTTACAGCTTTTCAAGAAGACATGTTTTGGTTATTTCCTGTCAATTCCCAAAATATATATGCAAAACCAAGCTATTCATCTAATGAAGTATGAATTGAATGCATCTGGTGCTTTCTATTTTTCAAATGAGTTAAAGGGTCAGAGGTTGAATTTTGGCTTGAGAGAGTTTGCGTTAATAACTGGTCTTAGATGTTTTACCCAAGTGACAGACTTTGGTTACACTCCGGATTATGATAGTAAGATAATGAGGAGTTATTTTCCAAACAAGAAAAAAATGAAGAAGTCATACCTAAAACAGATTGTAACCAACAAAAGTTGGGTAAATGATGAGGACACAGTCAAGTTATGTATTCTATATCTCATAGAATTCTTCATCTGTCCTTCAGAAAAAGACAATGTTGGGTTGGTAGACCATTTTAGGTTTTATTTGGTGGACTCCGGACAGTATGCGATATACCCATGGGGTATTGAGTCTTACAAACAGATGATTGAATCAGTTAGGCACAAACTTAATCCTTTTGTTCATTCTTATCTCATTCGAGGATTCACACTAGCTATGCAAGTATGATTGTATGAGTGTTGCTCTACCGTCAGCACTGATATAACTATAAGAGTTGCTAATTCAATCCCTCGCATACTTAACTGGTCAGCTAGTAAGGACAAGATATGGTTAGCTGCAATTGAAGATAGAATGATCACACCTGAATGGATCAAGGTAAATGGTTTTTATTTATGAATATACAATTTAATACAAATTATCTACAATTTGAATACATATTCTGTTTAGAACAACTAATTTTTTTTCCATTCAGTTCACCAACATAACCGAAGCAACTGAAGAGCTTTCTATGATGTCTTTGCCTGATAAAGTTGAGTACATACTTGAAGAAGTTGAAAACATTTCTAAAAATCCGAAAGTTGATACTCCTCCATTGGAACCCAAAGAGTCAATTGAAAAAGAGGACAAGAAGTCTATTCTTAAACAAATTAGAAAATTAAAAGAAGGTCATGAGAAGGTAACATGTATACATTAAATTGCATATGTTCTTTAATGTATGTTAAAGCCATATTTGAAGCTAACTCTCTATATTTTTAATATGTAGGTTGATTCAGATCTTGCATCTTTCAGGAAAGATGTCTTTGAGGAACTAGGTAGCCTTCGAGCACTACTAAATGACTCTATCAAATCTGTTTTGCAGGTGATAAACAGTCGAAATAATAACATTGATGCCAAGGTAATATTTATCAGTTTATTCATTTAACAAAACTATTTCTGTCACCTCTAAGTTATATTGTTATTCATAAAATAGATATCCTAACTAATATAAAACTTTTAGTTTGCTGGGAGTTCTACAAAAAATGCTGACCACCTAAAAGAAAAGAACAATCAACAATTTCAGTGTACTAGTGGAGAACCATTGCATGCCAGCAGCGGCAAAATAGGTATATACAAAAATGCATACATTTTATCTACAAATTAACTACAAGTTATCTACATCATACATACAACATATCTTCAAAATATATTCAAATTATTTAGGATATATTTACAACATATCTACAATATACATACAATTAAATACAGTATATTTACACATATCTACAGATTTATGTAGATCTCTATAATATACCTACATATCTCCTAAAAATGTCAAGCAACTACTATCCATTATAATTCAAATACTTTAATGAAAAAATAGGGCATGTGAATGACATGGAAAATAATGATAATCTTCCAGCACGTGTTGATTAATATTCCCATTTTGAAGGTGCCGTTGATGAAGAAAATGCAGGTATGAAATTGTATTCAGAAATTTTTGCTTTTTGTTTCAATTTTTTTTACTATTCTATTAAGCTAGCTATACTAAATGTAACAGTAAGGGAAGATATGCATGCACAATCTCCAATTCACGGAGTCACATCAACAATTCAAGGAGAACAGAAGAAAGAGGAAGATGTTAATGTAGGTAAAGAAGCCGAGTATGTAAATGTAGGTGATTCGGACGACTCCAGAGGTGAGAAGAAGGAGGTTACACTTGATGATTTTGAGCTGCCAGATAACTTCTCCCAGTTGGTTAAGTTCGGCGAGCCTAACCAAGATGAAACAACACCTGTGCATCAAGGTAGAACAAGGCAGCCTGGAAAACATGCCCGATCACCATTTCTACCTTTATATAGTTCTGGTGGCAGCACTTCGGCTGGACCTCCAATTTTTCACGTAAAGCACCCATTTACTACTGTTATTGGTCAAGATGTTGATCCTGAGTTGTTGGAAGAATTCAGGAAGTGGTTATACTTTGGTACCGACAAAGCTTTAAAGAGGTTTGTTTTCGCAATTTGACCCTTTGATTCCAGTATTCATCTTTTAAATATCTACTTCATTCAACAAATTTATTTTAATTTCTATTTGTTTAAATAGGAGGAAGGCTCTGTATTCTATAAAGGATAACCAAATTCAGCCATGGTTTGATCTTGGAGTAGAAAAGGTTGATAAGAAGGAGTGGTTCTATAATATGGCACACCCCGACCAAGTCCTCAACCACACGATAAACTCATACTCAAAATATGTAGTTATTTTGTTGAATTTTTTCTTTATTTGTATCTATAACACTGTTATAGTGCCATCTCCAGTATATGTAGTTATTGTGTAGATATATTGGAGATATTCTGTATAAATGCTTAACATCAAACTGAATTGTAGGTATATTGTAGATGTTTTGTAGATAATTTGTATTAATTCCTAATATCAAACGGAATTGTACTTAGTTTGTATATATATTGTAGATAATTTTTACTAATGATTAAAAACAAATAAAATTGTAGTTTGTCTGTGTATATTCTGTAGATAATTTATAATACTGATTTAAAACAAAATGTAATTGTAGTTATTTTGTAGTTTTTTTGTAGATAATTACCAAAAAGAAATAATTAAATATAATCTATTTTTGTTGCAGCACATTGATGTTATAATGTACTACTTGAGGAAAAAAGGAAATATGGCCCCCACAACAAGATAAGATTTACTACCACTGATTGTTTGTTCAAGACTAGAATTGAATAAATTTATAATAAGTTCATCAATTCTCCTCAAGAAAAGAAGTTTGATGTTGTCAAACCCCAAGACGTCGTAGAAGAATACATATTGGGGTACAGATTACTGGCAAAAATATTGCATGGGATCAAGTTGATTATGTGATCATGCCCGTCAACATTGTAGAAAAATTTCACTGGGTGTTGGTTGTTTTTGACATTGTCGATAGGGTTCTTTATGTGTATGATTCTATGGTCTCTTCACATAATCACTCTATTGTTGAATCTGTAGTCACCAAGTTTTCTATTATGATCCCCTTTTACTTGTCATGTACCGGTTTTTATGGCAAGCGATCACACATCAACTTCAAGAACACAAAGGCATATATTGAAAAAGCTATTACCGACCCTATTGACATTCAGTGGATCGGAGAGATACCACACCAAAAAGAAGGATCACTGTATGAAAAATCTTATTTCTTTCTATCTATTTAACATTTTTTTTTCATTGTTTGCTAAATATTGACACTTTTTTAATTTTGCAGCGACTGCAGTGTATATGTTGCTGCCTTTGCAGAGTATGTCAGCATTGGAGACCCAGCAGTTCCTGTTGATGCCCTTTTTGATATTGATTAATAGCGTAGATACTATGGAGCGCTACTGTGGGACTACACTAGGAAGAAGCAATAGAATGGTGCAATTAGTGAAAGTGAGGTGACTGACAGATTAACAAGGAAAAAGGTGCACCAGTTGTGAACGAGAAAACACAAGTCTTGAGGAAGAAGAATTAGTTACAATTTTTTGTATGGAACGTGTAGTTAAATTGTTTAATTGCAGCTAGTTTTGTAGAAAGATAGTAAACAAGTTTATGAACAAGATTGTTGAAGTTTAATTGTAGCAGATTTATGCTACAATTATTTTGCCCTTTGTTTTTTTATTTTATCCAGTATACTAGTTCGATAAATGGGGAAATATTTTGTTGCTTTTATATTCACTTGTTGAAAGTAAACAGTACTTGATCTAATTATTGTTACTGGTTAACTCCTTTTCAACTTAATTATTATGTAGTTACTATGTCAACTCCAGATTATGTAGTTATTTTGTAGTTTTTCTGCAGATAAATTGTAGGGATCATTAACAACTATCGATGGGTGCTGGAGATAATAAAACAACTGTGTACTACATATATACAAATCATTCACAAACCAATCAAGCTATGAAAGTATTAAATCGATACAGAATACTAATTAAACAAAACAATGTCAAACTAACTACATTAAGAATTGAAGGTGCCTCAAAAATTACACATCAAATATAATTCTCATGAACTCAGCAACAATTTTTATGGAAAATTCAGTTTACTACATAAAATTTTATTTCTTGTTGGGAGCATTATTGCAAGATCTTTTGTTATGCCCTTCTACTTCGCAGTTGCCACATGAAACCTTGTACTTCTTTGAGTTTACTTCATCATATGTTTTGTATCTTTGTTATTGAGGTCTTCCTGACTGTCTTTTCCCACCTGAAGTTGGATTTACAACTTCTTCAGTTATATGTTGTGGCATATTCCATTTGCTTTCACCAGGTAGGGGATTTACTAGTATTTCATAAGTACGCAAGAGGTTCTCCCTTGTGTAATAAGGAGAACAACATTGTTCATAAGACTCATCCTTGTGCCTTAAAGCAGCCAAAGCATGTGGACAAGGAAGTTCATCAAGCTGGAATTGCCCACAACTATATCTCTTATTTTCAAGACAAACAATATAACGCCTCACACCATCTAGTACTGTATGGATGTAGTCTGTTGAAGCTCTCACCTACAATTACATTACAAACAAAAAACAATTCATATACGGTTAAATATAAAATATCTACATTCTCTTTTAATAATTTATTTTGATGCAATAAATGATCAGATCTTACTCTAAGCTTGTGCGACAATGTTCTGTTGTCATCCAACTCTTTGTTGAATTTAAATCCAAGGTATGTGAATGTACCCTTTAATTTCAATAACTTTTCATTTGTCCAACATTCAAGAAAAGTCCTCATATACTCTAATAGTTCTACTATAGGCATCTCTCTTGCATCTTTTGTTACAACATTCAACAAAACGACTCTGCAATGTTTGATGTCATAGTTCAAGTACTGTTCACCGTAACATGTACTCGAGACCATCTATGATAGCCAATATCGTATAAGTATGCTTTAACATGCGGGTCAATCACTTCAATCTTTGACATTCTTTCATTAAATTCATCAAGTGTGTATGATCGTGCCGTGACAAAGTACAATTCGCTTAACTTTAGATGACCCTTCTTGAACTTTGCCCTTATATTTGTCCAAATATCCCACATGCAAGAATAATGTGGTATGCTGGGATAAACAACAGATGTTGCCTTCAAGATACTCTTATTCCGATCCGAAACAACACACACATTTGGTCTTTCACCATATGCATGTTTGAATTGCTCAAAAATCCACTTCCATGATACGTCATTGTTTGAATCAATAAACAGCATATGTCAATGGTAATAACCAAACTACATTATGTGGAAAAAAGCAATTAATTGGTTGCAGGAAAAATATAGAGGAAGACATATATATACAAACTACAACTTTTCAATAATATATCTACAAGTGCTATAAAAAACAGACAAGCTACAATATTTCTACAATAAAACTACAATACCTGATGCATCCATTGTACTAGTTGTTAGCATTATTCCCATGTATGCTGACTTTAAGAAGGTCCCATCAACTACTACAACTGGCCTACAATATTTCTAACCACTAATTGACGTACAAATCGCAACAAATACATACAAGAAGCAATCATCGTCCGTCTTCTTCAATTTAACTACAGACCCCGGATAAGTCTTCTCCAGAATATACAAATAACTAGGCAATTTGCTGTAGGAGTTAGCAGGATGACCTTTCAAAAACTCCAAAACCTTTTCCTTTGCTCTCCAAGCTTGCATGTATGTTAAGTTCACGCAGTGTTCAGACAACATATCAATTTGTATGCCTTTTGGTGTGTAAATTGTCTTAGGATCAGCATATTTTGGAATAACTATGCTACCAACTACCATGACATTACGTTTGCATTGTATGAATGTACTGTCCATCAAAGAGCATGTGTGCAAGCTGTTGAATTTTCTAACCTTGAACATTGCAGAATCATTTATGCTAGTTGTCTTGAAGTGCCATGTACAATTTTCACCAACACATACCAGCCAGTAGCTACAAAATAAAAATAATTTAAACACTGGTATACAAAATGTAGATAAAAAAAATAGTTGTAGTATAAAAGATCATATTCAACAATTTATATATAAAACAACTACAAATTATCTACAATTTTGTTAAACAATATCACCAAAAAAAATTGAAGAAGTAAAAATTTACAAATAAACTACAAAATAAAAAAGAATTACAAATGCAATGTTCCTACCTTCTAGCACTAGATCTTTTCACCCTAATTTGGAATTTGTTCATGACAGAATAGTGCTTCATTGCACTTGCAATTATTTGCTTGTCTTGGTATACTTGTCCTTCTTCAATAACACTTGGTGTACTTTCTGTTATTATTATACTTTCATATTCCACTATCGCCGGAGATGTTGGAATATCAATTAACTTCAGTGTTCCAAATAAACCTACAATAAAATAAAGCTAAATACTATTATGAACTATTTTTTGTAGATATTTTGTAGTTAATTTGTAGATATATTGAAATTCTGAATTTCATATTTAGCTACAAATGATATGTAGTTTTATTGTAGAAATATTGTAGATAGAATGAAATTCAATACTAATATATATATAGACTTTGACATGTAGTTGTTTTGTAGAAATATTGTTGATAATTTGTACATAGGTAATATACAACCAAAATTCGATAGTAATGTAACAAAATAAATCTGCAACTGTGTTCGAATTGGTGATACTCAATTTCAAATTGAAATCACATACTGTTATACATAGCGGATAGCTTCCTAAGATTTTGTTTTCCTTTTTGGTCTCCATGTATGCACGAACACCCATATCGTTCCTAATTTCCATTGGAGGACAATGTTCGTTCACAATGTATTTGATTTCTATTATTTTTTCGGATGTATCTATCATTAGATGCTCTGCTATTGTAGAATTCAATAGGCTATAACTCGCATCCTCGTCGACTACAATTCCATCAACCTGAAAGTCTCTATATCTACCATAGCTATCCCAATTCCCATTCAGTTGAAGCATAATTGAGATTTTCGACATAATTGCGGTTGTTACAGAAGAAATGTAGCTAATTTAGTCGCTTTTGAATTGTGAAATCAGAAAAACCAGTGAAACAGGGTATTGTCGTAAAAATATAGTAGTGAATTTTGGAGAGAAACGGGCGAAATTTAATAGCGAGATTTGTGTTTGATAAAATCTGGAAAATCCTTAATATCCTAGCATTCGCGTGCCTATTAAAGGAATTGTACAGCTAACATGATTCTGTTTTTAATGATTTGTTAATATTTTGTAGAAAAACTGTTAGCAGGGCGGGTAATTTGCAAACTATGAACATTTTTCGTAATATAGTTTCCTATATGGTATAGGAACGAAAATTTCCCTTTTAAATTTATCATTAAACACTTGTAGTCAAGTAACATCCCACTTGTTGAAGGAAAA